GTCTGCCATAGTTATTTTTTAAAATTCCTTCCAGTAGCACCTTAGAGACCAACTAAGTTAGTTATTGGTATGGGCTTTTGTGTGCATGCACACTTACGTATCTGAAGAAGTGTGCATCCACACAAAAGCTCATACCAATAATTAACTTAGTTGGTCTCTAAGGTGCTACTGGAAGGAATTTTATTTATTTATTATTTTTATTTTATTTATTTTGTTTTGTTCAACTTCTCTGACCTGACAATTGTTAAACAATAAAAAGTTTTATTAAATAACTATGTACATCTTGCCTTTTCTCCCTCAGCTACTTTCTCCTTTGTTTCCCACCCTTGCTTGGTCCTTATCTCCTGAACTAACTCATCCCCTCCCACACTTTGAAGCCAAAATCTAGGACGCCATCCTTCCAGATGCCATCTTCCACGCCATGCCCCCCCCCCAAAGCGTTTTCTTTGGGTACGGTGCGGAAAACGTGTGTTTTGTGGAACTGCATGAGATTGCGGCCCTGAAAAAGCGCTTTTTCCTTGGGGAAATTGCACAAGATCACAACAACAAAAATGGCTGCCATTCTCTCTCAATAAAAGGGATGTCCTGGAAAAAAAACCTTGCAGTATATGCTAACTGTGTGAGATGCTCCTAAAGGTATAGACTACTGCAGAAGACCTGAGGGTTCTTCTCGGCAACATTCAAGAAAAAACACCATAAAGCCTTAAAAAATATTTTTGTGTCATGCACCGTTAACGAAATACACCTGTTTGTGTATTAAATTTGCTTACTAATTAAATATATTAAATCTATTTTTAAAATTATATTCTACTAAATTTCAATCTTTTACAACCAAAACATATAAATACATTAAATCTCTTAACTGTGCATTTAATAATATATATTAAATATATCAATTGTATATGAAATAATAGTAAATATATTGCAAACACTTTATGATATGGAAATTCAGTTTAGTGTGTGGCTGCAGGTTCTTTGGTGAAGTACTCTTGCAGTCCACTTGGGCTGCAAAACATTGGACTGCCCTGTAACATCTTACAGCTCAGGTGATTTTAACCATCAGCCTGCACCTGCTGCTATTACTATGTAAGCTCTCAGTTTCAGCTTGCTTCTTGCTAGAGCAGCTTCAGATGCCTGTGTTTCCTACAGGACAGCCTTAACTTCACCTGGTCCTGTGCCTCAGTTGAAGCTTGCCACAGAACAGCACATTAGCCCGATTCAGAATTTCATCCTTCTGACTTTTGACTATGAAATCCTGAGTTTAAAATTCAAGGTGGCTGGGGCTGGTGGGAGTTATTGTGTGGAACATCTGGAGAACGCCAGGCTGACTGCCTTAGACCAGGCTTCCTCAGCTTTGGCCTTCCAGATGTTTTGAGACTACAATTCCCATCATCCCTGACCACTGGTCCTGCTAGCTAGGGATCATGGGAGTTGTAGGACAGTTTGTTCTGTTCGAAATGCAATGAAATAACCAGTTTTGTTGGGTTTTACAGCAGTATTATGATTGATTTGTTTATATATATTATTGTAAGGTGCTTTGGGAAATACATATTTGGAAAGCAGTCTATATAAATTGCTTAATTTTTACTTTTATTTAGAATGTGAAATTTTGTCCCAAAAGATCAGTGCCTTTGACTTGCTGACATCTCTTTGTTGTTCTGCATTTGGCAGCGAATCTCACAAACTGTCACTTGTCAGATACTGTCAAATATTGAAATCAAGTGTCTACCACAGCTTCCAGACTGTTGCTATAGAGAGAGAGAGAGAGAGAGAGAGAGAGAGAGAGACTTGCCTTGGCCCAACATCATCTAACCTCCCTGCAGAGAAATCAGAATGAATGCTGAATAAATAGCTGTCGTCATCTAAGCTCCCTGCAAACTTTGTGCAAGCGAATAAGGGTGAATGCTTAATAAGCAGGTTGTCTGGAAGTGACCTAAATTACCGGTTTATTTTCTTCCTTACCAAGGGGATGGGTAAAGATATAGCTGGGAAATGAAGCAAGGAGGGGGGGAATACAGAAATGCAGTGAAAACCCTCTGGCTGCATGAATCTCTGCCCTGTTTATGTCAGTAGCTGCACCAAATTAAGGCTATAATCATTCATTCCTGTTATATTGCCCCAGTTTTATCATCTGGCATTTTCTTCTTAGGTAACCCTACTAAACCTAGCAGGTTAACCCTGTTTTGCATTAAAGCTCTGCTTCTTTGTGATAACTTCCATCACTATAAGGCTCTCTAGCAACAAAATCTAAACCTGAACGGTGTTATTTACCATCCTAAAGAAAGCATTTTATTTATTTGTTTCACTTATACTTCACTTTTCCTCTAAGAAACTCATGAGGCATGAGGCAAATCTCCAAGTAAGTTGTTCTCAGAGTAAACCCATTGATTTTAGTGGTTCTACTCTGAATATGGCTAACATTGAATCTCACCCAAGGTGGTCTCTGCTCCAAGTGGATCTCCCTAGCATCTTGATATGCACATGTTTAAAGAAGATGAGCACATTTTGGGGATGGGATTCACAGGTCAGCACAGGCAAATTAGGCCACTCACTTTTGAAGAACTAGGGTTTGGATAAGGGCTAACAAGCTAAATGGACCAGTGGCCGGCTCCAATATTCGGGACTGGCAACCATGGCAGTGATTTTTTAAATTATAAAAGCTATTGCCTTCCTTTGTCCCTTACCCTTCTTCCCTCAGGACCCTTGTTATCCTAACAACAGCTGTTTAAAATGGTTGCTTTTGTGATTGCTATTAGCACTTCAGACTTGCAGGTCTTGAGTCCTTGTATTTGTTTCTGAACCGGTTACAGGTTTGGAAGCTGAACCAGGACTCGGATCTTGGCTTGTTCCTCTTTTGTGATGGAATAACGCTGCCCACGAAAGCCCACTTTGCTGAGTTCCTTTTTTTAAATTAAATGATATTTATTAAAGTTTAACAATTACAGAAAAAAAAGAAAGACAAACAATAAAAATTACAATACTTCAAAAATAAAAAATACAATAAAAAACAACAATACAGCAAAACAATACAAAAGAAAAAAACAAAAACATTTAAAAACAAAAACATTTAAAAAAACCCATCCAGTATTTTCATGTTTCCTCGACTTCCTCACACCTCCCTTTTTTGTATTCTAATTCAATTAATTGTTTCAGCAAGTCCTTTCCCTCTTTTTCAAATTTTGTTCCATAATTTATCTACCGCAATTTAACCTTAAATTTTACACTTTGACCCGTTAACAATCTATTTTTACTTAATTCTTTATAACATTTCTGCTAAAACCATGTAACTTCATTCCAGCATCCTTCTAACATTCATTTATTTTACAATATTTCTGTAAATATACTTTAAATTTTTTCACTTTGCTGAGTTCCTGAGGTGGTCTGCGTCTCTCCCTCCTGGAACTAGATGGATTCTGCAACGCCTGAAATAGCGAACTTGCATTTGTCAGCAATGGCGAGAAGCTAGGGCACTTGGAGATCAGATCTCTTTGCTAAGGAGGAACGATTTTTGAACAGGCACTTTTCCCATCTGGCAGGAGCATCCTCCCTTCTTCTTCCCGCCGCCCTCCCAGATCGCAATCCTCCCCTGCGCTGTTTTGCATCTCAAGTGCCATAATGCAGAAGAATGCATCTGAAAGTGACAAGGGAGCCTGTATGCTGGAATGCCGCCTTCCAGGCAAGGAATATATTATAAATGGCCTGCAGTGACTCTAAATGGATTACGGAGCCCACTTCCAAAGCGCTGAGCTGTCCCGCAAGCTGCTCTTGCGCCATTGCATATGATGTTACTTTTATGGATTACACTGTGTAATTGCTCATCTGATTGAATTACTTTTATCAAAGCACTCTGTGCCGAACAATGCAGCTAGGTCAGGGGAGGCTAAAAATAGATTGGGAGAGCAGAGAGTTAATTAGATTCTATGAATGCGAGAAGAAGGGAGTCAATCCTACAGCCTTTAAGGCAAGGGTAGGCAACCTAAGGCCCGGGGGCTGGATACTGCTCAATCGCCTTCTCAATCCAGCCCGCGGACGGTCCGGGAATCAGCGTGTTTTTACATGAGCAGAATGTGTCCCTTTATTTAAAATGCATCTCTGGGTTATTTGTGGGGCATAGGAATTCATTGATATTTTTTCCCCAAAATGTAGTCTGGCCCACCACATGGTCTGAGGGACAGTGGACCAGCCCACGGCTGAAAAAGGTTGCTGACCCCTGCTTTAAGGGGAAGGCCGTGGCTCAGTGGCAGAGCAGAAGTCCCTAGGTTCAATCCCTGCCATTTCCAGTTAAAAAGGGACCCCTGACCATTAGGTCCAGTCGTGACCGACTCTGGGGTTGCGGTGCTCATCTCGCTTTATTGGCCGAGGGAGCTGGCGTACAGCTTCCGGGTCAGGTGGCCAGCATGACTAAGCCGCTTCTGGCAAACCAGAGCAGCACACAGAAACGCCATTTACCTTCCCGCTGGAGCGGTACCTATTTATCTACTTGCACTTTGACGTGCTTTTGAACTGCTAGGTTGGCAGGAGCAGGGACTGAGCAACGGGAGCTCACCCCGTTGCGGGGATTCGAACAGCCGACCTTCTGATCGGCAAGTTCTAGGCTCTGTGGTTTAACCCACAGCGCCACCCGCGTCATTTCCAGTTAGGGTTGGGAAAAACTTCTGCCTGAAACCCTGGAGAGTTACTATATTGAACTATCACTGTAAGCTATACTGAGCTTGATGAATCAATGGTCCATCTCCGAAGAAGGCAGCTTCCTATATTCCTTTGTTAGTACAGTGGTACCTTGGGTTACATACGCTTCAGGTTACAGACTCCGCTAACCCATAAATAGTACCTCGGGTTAAGAACTTTGCTTCAGGATGAGAACAGAAAACGTGCGGCAGTGGCGCGGCAGCAGCGGGAGGCCCCATTAGCTAAAGCGGTACCTCAGGTTAAGAACAGTTTCAGGTTAAGAATGGATCTCTGGAACAAATTAAGTTCTTAACCCGAGGTACCACTGTATAGGGCAACCTGGTTTGTAAAAGAAAGAAGAAACCACCCCTAATTTGCTTCTCATGAAAGCACTTCTAGAAACTGCAGGTGACAGCCACATTTTACCTGCTACCTCGCCTTCATTCTCTCACACAGGAAGAACGGGCTATTCTAAGATGGCATCCGCTGTCACAAATTGTGCTGGATCAATCAATCAACCTCTGAGGAATGATTTAGAAGGATTGGGTCCAGCATCACTTTCGCTGTGCGTGTGTGCCAGTATCCATACTCAGCAGAGTTACATCTCAACGCAACTCCTTCCTTGGGAGTGTCTTCAGGGTTGAAGGTACACACAGTATGCAATAAACACTCCTGGACGCCATAAAGATTCAGTCAAGCTTAGAAGCTGACTTGACAGGCATAAAAGCATATTGGTAGCAAATATATGCCGACATTCGCCACTGCCGTGGTCAAAGCATTGCTTAGAGTCCAAGACTCTGCTTCTCTCAGGCACAAGCAAGAGACTCACAAGTTATCACATTGTTATCAGTACTTCCTTTCACACTGCCCATGTCCAAAGAACAGTTCCCACAGAAAACGTCCTTGCATAGACAAAACAATCTCAGCCTTCTGCTGCTTCTTGAAACTTCTTCTCTGTTCTTCTCTGTTTCTGAAATAAATGATTCTCACACAGAGAGACAGAATATCCAACAATTTTAAACATTTAAAAGAAAGATTCGGTTTCCCTTCAAAACTGTAGGTTGAGACATTTGCATGTGTGTGGAAAATGAATTTGATTAAAGCAAAATTGATGAACAGATTAACATTTCTTTCATGAGGTGTCAACCGTAGTGTAACCACCACATCATTCAGAGTATAGGCTCCCATCTGCTCTGTGGCTATTTCTATGGTGTCTTCATGAGGTTCAGTGGTACCTCGGGTTAAGAACTTAATTCGTTCCAGAGGTCCGTTCTTAACTTGAAACTGTTTTTAACCTGAAGCACCACTTTAGCTAATGGGGCGTCCCGCTATTTCTGGGTTAGTGGAGTCTGTAACCTGAAGCGTCTGTAACCTGAAGCATCTGTAACCCGAGGTACCACTGTATATGCATTCCTTTTCTGTGCTGTTAAATTTACACACTTTACAGTCATACCTCGTGTTACGTTTGCTTCATGTTGCAGCTTTTCAGGTTACAAATGTGGCAAACCCAGATTCGCCGCATGCGCAGAAGCGCTCTATTGCGCTTCACGCATGCGCAGTAGCGGCACTCTATTTAAGGACTTTTCGGGGTGCAAATGGCACCCTGAAACGGATCGCGTTCATAAGTAGAGGCACCACATAAACAGAACCAGGAGATGGAAATGCGCACAATCCTAATTGTCATCATTACATAATTGTCATTATTATAATTGCATTTATAGAATTGCTTTGATTTTTCTGTTGTATAGATATTCTGCTAAGGAGTAGCATTTGTGTTCTGAGTTGCAAACCACCCTGTGATCTTTTGACAAAGGAGTTCTGAGCCAATTCTGATGCGGTTGTGGCATCTATCCAGCTGTCAGCACAATAAGGATGGTGTCAGCCTTTGCACTGAGCTTCCTTTGCCACTTTGGTTCATGACCTGAGTGTTACTTAAACTTGAGAAGTGAAGCTGTTACCAGGCTCTGTAAGGTAAGCCAAGGAGACAGTGTGCATTACCCCCTAATATTTAATGAAGTCTCAGTCCGTTTGCATCCCACACCTGCTATATCCTTCTTTGTCAGTTTAACCATTATGGCCTCCATGTCGGCAGGTACCCCATAGCCCCTCATTAGGCACATAAATTTCCACACCTCCTCTCCTGACTCGTATTGGTCCTCCCCACCCCCTTATATCCTGATAAGCCACTGCATCAGCCTGCCTGTTCATTACTATCAACAGACGAGGCTCTCTCTGCTCTGAGTGAGGTGTGCAGTGTGAGGGACCTATAGAAGAGCCTTTTCAGTGTTGGCCCCACAGCTGTGGAACAATCTCCCCACTGACATGGACCTTGTTTCTATAGTGTATTTGTTTTGGCACCAAGTGAATATTGCAGATATTAATATTGTGCAGCTAGAAGCAATAAGATGAATTAAAACTGACTCCTCTTGGAATAAAAATGGTCCAGACCCATAAATATGATTCAAAAGCTTTACTAACACAACTTGTTCCAAAAACAGATATAAAAAGAAATAATGATACATCCACCTAGTTATATAATGTCATGTGCATGTCCAGCACAGTTTCATCTTCTTACAAATTTGAAGTAACTCCTAGCAGACCTAAAATTAGAGGCCTCTCTCTTCCCACAGCCTCCATTAACCTGTAGCTATTATCTCTCCAGGAGAGACCTCATTACCACATCCTTTGTTCTCTGTGGCTTCCAGAGAGAAAAAGGCAACTCCCTTCAAAATGGTGATTTGAAACTGAATAACCCTCTCACATGATCTAAAGTTAAACACCATGTGAGAAAGCAGAGAACATCAACCGTTAATTATCAACCAGTCAGGTGCCCAGAGAGCTCTTGTTAGTTTTAGTATAGCCCAATTGCATTTACCATGGCATACCTTCAGCAACACTTACACACAGGGTTATTTGCCATTTCATTGTCAATTAAACAATTATACTTAACAGTGAAGACACACCTCTCTCACCAATTAGCAGTGGAAAGGTGTGATGGGTGAAGTCAGTTTTAAGTATGACACTATTAAAGAATAGTTATGGAGGTATTTTACGTGACTCTGTTCTAACAATTGTATTATGCATTGTGTTTTGTTGCTTTTACTTTACAGTGCTTTGCGGCTCCTGTTGTGAAAAGCAATATAAAATATATGAATAAATAAATGTTGTACTTTCCACCCGCCACAAATATCTACAATTCACTGTCATCAGCTGAAGTCATTTGGGTAAGTTTTCCATATGAAGATCACCACCATCCTTCTTGGACTTGTTAAAGTACAGTAATTATTACTGTTTTTGAATTGGCATAGGCAAATTTTATGCAAATCTCTGCCAACTTTTTTTCTGCTGACCTGTTAAGTGGGCACCCTGTATGCAATCATACCCATGTCTACTCGGAAGTAAGATAGAGTAGATCAGGCCTTGCTCCCCTGGTACTGGTCCATGTGCATAGTAATGCAGCTGGAATAACACTGCAATGAAATGCTCTGATGCCAATTTTTGTTAAATGTATGCTTTTTTTAAAAAAAAGTTAGCTTGTAAGATATATATTTTCTTCTATTTCTTAGGCATATAATCAACTCCCTCTCTATTTAGAGCATCCAGTTATAAAATGCTCTTATTTTAGTATTTTAGATTTCTTTTCCAGGTGTTCTGTTTTATTGACGCAACTTTCAGCCATAGAACAGGGCCTTGGATCCAGAGGATCTTGTGTGCATGTCAGGGACTGATCAGAGGAGACCACATCCCCAGCCTGACCCTTCTGGAGAAGAAGAAGACGACAGTTCAGAATTACAACAGGGGTTTGAGGGAGGTCACAGCTCAGAGGCAGAAGAGGGAAAAGCGGGGAAATAATGGGAGAAGAGGAATCACTAGGAGTGCAACAGCCGACAGACACAGTGTCTTTAGAAAGCATTCCAGACCCCCCTCCTCCCAGAACCTGGAGAGCCTTGAAAGTAGTAGAGCATAGAGCTCAGAAGCCAAGGGCCCTCAGTGTCGCCCGTAGGGGAGATGATGACAAATGAAGAAGTGGGAGAAAAAGGGGTTGGAGAGTCACCCGGGACAACACCGTTATCCCAAGAGGCTGAGTTCCAAGCCTCTCTCTGTAAATATTGAATGAAAAGCAGATGGAAAGAACTTTTCCTTGTATTGTATGTTCCCGGCACCCAGCCGTGGGAGTTGCTTACTGTCGCCTGACAATGCATGTGCAAAGTGCTGTTGGCCAGTTTTACCACATGAGGTCCTGTTCTAGAGGGCCTTGAATCTTTGGGGGAAGACTTTCCATGGGGCTGCCGCTAGAAGTTAAAATCTGAAAAGCTTCCATATACCAGCAGAAGTAACCTTGTCTTTTTCTGGAACTAAATCAGCATTTCCAGCTCTGAGATTTTTAGAAAACAACAGCTACGAAGCAGCGAGGCATACAGCAACATATATGCCACCTTTGGGAAGAGCTGACCTACATCAGAGGGAGATCTTTCATCTGAGCCGTAAAGCTGCTAAGCCGCATTCTGTTCTAAGACGCACATTTAATAGTCTTGGCAGTGACCTTGCCGCAGGACAGTGGCTAGCGCTGATATTTTCTCACTGCCATCCTCAAAAAGCACAATTGCCTTTGCTTAGTTTGCTTTTGTTAGGGCAAATTGCAGATCCACCCCACTAGGCTGCCATAAAATAGGACACTTTCCCCTGCATATGGTGTCATTGTGCAAATTGTTCGGTGCCAAGTCGGTTTGCTTATTTAGTTTTAAATTTATATCCCACCCTTTCTCAAAAGACCACAGGGTGGTTTGCAACACAGAACGCAAATGCCACTATATAGCATCATATCTATATAACATGGAAACCATGCACTGGAGAAGGTGAAATTCCCATATAAAGTAACAAGCTTTCTGCTGTGGAAAGGCTATGTAAGTAAAGTGGTTTGTATATATATATCCCTTTCAAGGTTGAAACAGTGATACGTTTGTGTCATCTCCTTCGTACAGCGCTTTTTCCGGCGTATGAGCTGACTCCTCAAGAACTTTGTTCTGGGCACAATCCAATCATTGGTCAGATCATCACAGTGACTTCAACCTCCAAATCCAGTCCTCTACTGAATGGCACACTGTTCCCGTTGAAAACTAGATTGCTTGCCTTTCAAGGAAGCCAAAGTGTAAATGGGATTTGCCCTCTTTTGAGACCCCTAGGCGAAATTCACTGGCCAAGAAGATCAGGCCAGCATGGCCCTCATTTGGGCCCACAAGGCTGCTCCACCCCCCACCCCCCACCCCCCACCCACCCACCTGTATCATACTTGACATCATATTGGCTACAAAGGACCAACTGGGAGCTTAAAGTGAGCCCCAAGTTGTTCCGATCAGCGAACCCCACTGGGACTGGCTGCACTAAGGAGTTCCCCATGGGAAACTCCCTGTTGCAGCTGAAAGAGTTGCCTATTAATGCTGATCTGCTGATTGGTGCTGTCACCAAGCCTTCCTTTGTCCATTTACAGGTATGGTTGGAATCCAAACTGCACCTGCAAATGGACTTCAGGACAGCTCACTGTGACTCTCAGTAGGCAAAAACATCTGGAGGGCCGTGGTTGAGGAAGCCTGGGCTAGACATCCCGTCCAACTCTAAAACTCTTAAGATGAAAAGCAGTGCACATGCAGGGAAGTGTAGCAGCGCTTTCAGACTCCGAAGGGCTCTTGCGGTTTTAAGGATTGTGTGTCTGTTTGTTGCACATTTCATGCACAGTGGTACCTCGGGTTACAGACACTTCAGGTTACAGATGCTTCAGGTTACAGACTCCGCTAACCTAAGGTTACCAGATGTCCCCATTTCCCGGGGACGGTCCCCGGATTTACAAATCAGTCCCCATACAAAATCCATTGAAGTTGAAAAGTGTCCCCCGATTCATTGAAAAAAATCTGGTAACCTTACACTAACTCAGAAATAATACAAAAAAAATTCCTTCCAGTAGCACCTTAAAGACCAACTAAGTTAGTTCTTGGTATGAGCTTTCGTGTGCATGCACACTTCTTCAGATACACATACACACAGTGTATCTGAAGAAAAGTGCATGCACACGAAAGCTCATACCAAGAACTAACTTAGTTGGTCTTTAAGGTGCTACTGGAAGGAATTTTTTTTGTTTTGACTATGGCAGACCAACACGGCTACCTATCTGTATCAGAAATAATACTTCGGGTTCAGAACTTTGCTTCAGGATGAGAACAGAAATCGTGCAGCAGCAGCGGGAGGCCCCATTAGCTAAAGTGGTACCTCAGGTTAAGAACAGTTTCAGGTTAAGAATGGACCTCCAGAACGAATTAAGTTCTTAACCTGAGGTTATAATTATATAATTATAACCTGTTTCCCATTTCTGACCTGCTAACATTGCATGCTTGGAGATCTCCTTTTGGATTTCTCTTCAGAGATTTTAAAATGAAGATTGAAATTGCAGTGCCACCTTGTGGAAAGCGGTGCAAGGCACAAGTGGTCCTTGCTGCAGCGAAACTGCTTTGCTTCCTTGGTCCTTGTGTTAAGTCCTAAACTTTGCCCCCCTCCCCAATCCCTGGCTATTAGCTATGCTGGCCAGGGTTGATGGGAGCTGGAGTCCAGCAACTACCAGCTAGGAAACTACAGGTTTCCATTTCTGCTCTAAACACTTGTGAAGATGCTGCAGTTTTTGGAGACTTCATAACACAAAGATAATTATTTTGCTCGGAATGGAGAATATAGACATTTGCTTTCCAAGTTACACTACTGGAAAAACCCCATTTTCTGTTACTTGCCCTAGATCGGTGGTTCTCAAACTGTTGCCTCTGGGCCACACTTTCAGAATAACAATTTGCTCACACCACACCATTTCTTCTTTTGTTTTATTGGTAAGAAATACATTGGAAAACAAAAAGAAACAACTTTTGCCAGTGCTTGAATTGTAACACAGAACATAGAATATGATCATGGGACATCAAGGCAGTATAAAACAATGTCGATATATAAGAACACGAATCATTCCTGAAATATAATTATAAACGAGTCTCTGACATATGTACCTTAAGTATGCATGCAGACTCAGCGAGAGGTGTGAGCTTGCTTTTGCTGGGTAATCTCATTTATATGGGGTCCAATTTGAGACAGGCAAACTCTCATCTCCTCATCAACAAAAAGAAACCTTTCTCTTTCCTGAGAAATTCATGTTTGTCAGAGTTGACAATCCTTGATCACAACAATACAGTGGTACCTCAGGTTACAGATGCTTCAGGTTACAGATGCTTCAGGTTACAGACTCCGCTAACCTAAGGATGAGAACAGAAATCGCACGGCGGCAGCAGTGGGAGACCCCATTAGCTAAAGTGGTACCTCAGGTTAAGAACAGTTTCAGGTTAAGAACGGACCTCCAGAACGAATTAAGTTCTTAACCCGAGGTACTACTGTATGTCATAGAGAACTGCAGAAGAATAGCAAATGCTCTTGAATATCTATCCATATTCAGCAAGTAAATAAATAAAATACTTTGATACTATACCAGGGGCCAGCAACATTTTTCAGCCGTGGGCCGGTCCACCATCCCTCAGACCTTTTGGTGGGCCGGACTATATTTTTTGGGGGTGAAATGAACAAATTCCTATGCCCCACAAATAACCGAGAGATGCACTTTAAGTAAAAGCACATATTCTACTCATGTAAAAACACCAGGCAGGCCCCACAAATAACCCAGAGATGCACTTTAAATAAAAGGACACATTCTACTCATGTAAAAACACGCTGATTCCCGGACCATCCTCTGGCTGGATTTAGAAGGCGACTGAGCAGGATCCGGCCCCCAGGCCTTAGGTTACTTACCCCTGTACTATACTACACCATACAATACAATATTGAAATGTTTAAAAGTTGCTTTGATTGTCCTTGAATTTTCCTGCCACACCAATGTGGCATGCCTGTTCAAAAATTGTTTTGATGTTAGGGATGGGGGGTGGGGTGAAATTTGATTCAGTTTGCACCTAAAAGCAAACCTATCTAATTCACGTTTTCTGAAACAATACTGGAACTGAAACATGGCCAACCTGGGCAGTTCTCTGAATTTTGCAGTGCAGTTCTCCAGGCAAGTAATGTGTGCAAAAATGCACACAGGAAGGAGGGTAAAGTGTGAGGTGGGAAGCATACAAACATGGATTATATTAAGGTAAATTGGATTTCAAAAACATTTGTGTTAGGCAATTTGCATACAAATGTGTTTATATTACGAGAAATTTGCCCTCAAATGCTGATGAGCTTCCAATAATAACCTGGAAACTGGTGTGGGAATGACGTGAAGCTAAGATTGGAAAAAAGAGAAGCTGAGAGAAACTGAAACAAACAGGTTTCCCCATCCCTAGTTGATGGTAAATTTTGTGTAAAAAGGAATTAATCTATTTGGGTCGGAATATTGGGAAAATATTGCTTAACGGAAAGTAGATCAGTTGGGTGTCGTTCCAGAGTGAGTATTTTGAATTAATTTCTTTTGTGTAACTGACAGAAAATCAGAAGTCCTTTTTATTTTTATTTTTTCTTCTACTTTTCTGATTTGCCTTTGGTGTTTTCTCTTTCTCTCTTTCTGTATATCAGGCTTCTGTTAAAAGCACAGGAGCAGAGGCAGCTAAAGAAGAAAGAAAGGTGGCAATGGAAGGCTAATCAGAGTGCAGCCATGGAAGAGTCAGCACCCGTGCTTTATTGAGGAACATAGATAGATAGATAGATAGATAGATAGATAGATAGATAGATAGATTCTTTATTGTCATTACACAAGTGCAACATTGCACAAGTGCAACGAAATTGGATGCCATCCCTTAAAAACAACAAAAGCAAAACAACAACAACAACCAAACAAACCCCCTTCCAGCCACACCCACACCCACACCCATCAAACTCCCAGGTCTCCCTATCGAGTTACAGCATTCAAAAAGGCCACAGCTCTTGGATAGAAACTGTTTTTCAGTCTATTTGTCCTTGACCTGATGTTTCTATACCTCCTGCCAGAAGGCAGTAGTGCAAACAGAACATCTCTTATGCCTTTGCTTTTCCATCACCTATAATTCTCTAAAGAGAACCGCAGGCTGGCGCATGGCCTGTGGCTTGAGCCAAGGTGAATAGAGAGAAATCAAGCATTTCAAAGATTAGGTGGTACAGTTTCAAAGCTGTTCAGGGAGCCGCTGTGGATTTTACAAGGAGGTTGCCTCTGTTCCTCTGGAACTTTCTGGTTTTTTTACAACTTCCCTATAGCAACGAAGTACTCACCCACACTTCCACTTGTCGCACGCTTTCTAGTTTTCCTTTTCTCCCACCACTTACCCCTGGAAAACCCGCCGTTTACCTCTGAATCATAACAAACATCAGTTGGGTGGAACTGGAACGTGTCCAGAGGAGGGCAACCAAAATGGTCAAAGGGCTGGAAACGATGCCTTATGAGGAACGGCTAAGGGAGCTGGGCATGTTTAGCCTGGAGAAGCGGAGGTTAAGGGGTGATATGATAGCCATGTTCAAATATATAAAAGGATGTCACATAGAGGAGGGAGAAAGGCTGTTTTCTGCTGCTCCAGAGAAGCGGACACGGAGCAATGGATCCAAACTACAAGAAAGAAGATTCCACCTAAACATTAGGAAGAACTTCCTGACAGTAAGAGCTGTTCGACAGTGGAATTTGCTGCCAAGGAGTGTGGTGGAGTCTCCTTCTTTGGAGGTCTTTAAGCAGAGGCTTGACAACCATATGTCAGGAGTGCTCTGATGGTGTTTCCTGCTTGGCAGGGGGTTGGACTCGATGGCCCTTGTGGTCTCTTCCAACTCTATGATTCTATGATTCTATGGGTTTTCTGCGGATTGACGTTTGTTCTGATTCAGCAGCAAATGGCATGTTTCCCCGGAGAAAGCAGGAGAAAAACCTCTCCGACCCATGCCTAGAAAACACAGGACAAAAAGAATTGTGGCTGAGTCTAAGGCAGGGGTCGGCAAGGTTTACCTCGCCTGGGCCAGTTCACTCCAGCGGAGATCCCTCTGTGGGCCAGAGTGCACGCATCTGTGAATGCGCATGACTGTGATATGTGGCATCTGCATCTGCGCAGACACAATTTCCAGAGCCGCGGAAGCGAGTCCCCATGCTGCGCCGGTTTAGCGCAGCGCGCAGGGACTCACCGAGTGGGCA